TTACTACTAATGATTGGTTTAATAAAAAAACAAATTTAATTAAATTTATTAAAAAGTGTTTTATATAATATTTTGAAATTGTATAAACATTTATTGCGTCAAAAAAGTTGCAAAAAAAAAATTGTTTAAAAAAATAACGTAGTCTTTTTAAAATAGTAATTTTTACTAATTTACTAATTAAAAAAAAGGTTTTGAAATTTTTTATTCATTAAAATAGAAAAAATAAATAAAATGCGCCTGCAATTTAAATAAAATACACTGCCAACAAGTTTTTTAATTTAATTTTAATTTGAGCATTACAACTTTATTAATAAGTGCTTCATGTGACGAATTTAAAAATTATTATAAAAGATTTAATCTCATTCATTTCTCAAAAAATTGAAAAAAAATAAAATTTTACAAAAAATAAAATGTTTATTTCAAACATTTTTAAAAATTGTAAGTTTATTCATAAAAATTAATCGTATGAACATTACAAAATGCTTTAAAACTTTTTTCATTAAATCAACAAAATACATGCTTATATAAGTAAATAAAGTTATTTTATATTCTTGCATAATTCACATAAAATGTGTAAAAGTTAGTAGCCACAAAAACTTTTAAACTTATTCACAAATTAAATTAAAAAAATTCTTTCTAAAAATAATGGTTTAAAAATGTTTTAGGAAGACATAAGAAAATAGTTTCTACATAAATGCCTACATTTTAAAAAACTTATTTATAAAGTTTTTTATTAATTTGCACAAGCGTTTATGTAAACAATAACTATAATTAATTTTATGGTTTTATTTAAAGCCTTTGCGTTAAATAAAAAACTTTAGAAAAGATCAACGATTAAAAGATATTTATAATGTAACACTTTTTTTATTGCATTCAAATTGTTAAAACATCAAAATAGCTGTGGTCAAGTTGTAAAAAAATAAAAATATTAGTGTGGTCAGTTACAGAGTGCGATCGCATGCCATTCCTGTCCAAGCCTGCATTAAGTATTTTTAACCTTTTTAGTTGATTTCTATCTTGTTAATTTAATTTCTACAGTGACTCAATGATTTAATTATTTCATTTGATCATTTTATAAAGAAGAATTGTTTAAATATGTTTAACTTTTTAAACTACACGAAGCATAAAATAGTTATTAAAAAAAATAACTTTTTTATTTATAAAATAATTTAGCTTAAATAAAACTAAAACTATCGTTAGTTTTATTAGAATGTTGTTAGACTTTTCAAGGCCGGGGACTGTTTTTATTTTTAGGACCTTTTTATGTGCCACAGCGTATAAATGGCTATAAAAAAAGGTCTTCTTGACTATTGCGGGGCCCAGCGCTATAGCTCCCTCTAGCTCCAACCCTTCTTAATCCAGCACTGGAAATAAAACAACAGTATATAATTAAAAATTACATTACACTCTATGAAAAATAAAAGAACATTTGCTTCGTTTTTAAGCAATCGTATGATGTTACTTAATATAAAAAATGTCGCCTAATTTTATAAAAAAAATTATTACAGAGCAATGTTCTGGAAATATTTGTTCTAAACATAATTTATTTTGCTTTAAGTTTCTTTGCGTTTAAAGATATTTTATTTTCGTAGTTTATTATTATTTTTTTGTAATTGTCTTTTTTCTTCCAATAAATCTTTTTTACACTTTTTTTTGTTTTGTTTTTTGAAATGTTCTCAAAACAACTAAAAAATCTGGCCAGTTTTTTGCAACTAAATATTATTTTCCTGGTCAGTATTTGAGAGCGATTGCTCCCGCTTCCCGACCAAGCCTGTTGTGAGTGTTATTGTTTTTTCAGATATGCAATGCTAAGATTCTATCAAAATGTTTATATTTATTTCCGCCAGAGTAAAGTAATTGTAATCGTAAGTAACTCTATTACTGTTTCCAAGCAATTACTGAAAAATTGATCTGGTCAAAAAAATATTTTTTAACAAAGTTTTCTTTTGAAAAAAGATGCTTAAACTTGGATTTTCTCATATTATTGATTCAATTTGTGATTTGATTTTGAGAACATTTAAGTTTTGTTTTGAGAACATTTAAGTTTTGTTTTGAGAACATTTAAGTTTTGTTTTGAGAACATTTAAGTTTATGTATGTTTCCTTGTTTGTTTTGTTTGAGAACATTTAAGTTTATGTATGTTTCCTTGTTTGCCTGCAAAATAATAAGTTCATTTTATCGTAAATTTTAAAATATTTTGTTTTACGGACTTACATGGAAACATACATAAACTTGAATGTTCTCAAACATCTTAGTGCGGAAAAATAAAAAAAGAATGTTCGGATACACAAAAAACCCGCCAAATCTACGAACAACTAATTCTATTAGTTCAAAAAATACTAACCGAAATTTCTAGAGTATTCAAAAAATACTAACAGAATGTCCTGAGTATTCTGTTGAAATATTTTTAAAAATTGTATTATTTGAATTTTGTTTTGTATTCGTGAGATTTCTAGCATAAATTATTTTAAGAATAGACTATCAAACGAACTATTATTTTAATACTTAGAGCCACATCTACAAAGCTATAAATGTTTTAAACTAACAATATTTGTTTACAATAATAAATGTTTTAGATTTATATTTTTTAACTAGTCAACATTTTGTAAATATATTATAGATTTTATTAGTATATTCTTATTTTTTATATATAAGGGATGTATTTTTTATGTGTGTAATGTATTTTTATCTATGTAATGTATTTTTATCTATGTAACTTTATGTATGTGTATTTTATTCAAATGTAATCTTTTAAAGCAATTTGTGCAATTGATTTTGTAAAAAAAAATACTTTCAATAAAACTATTAATAATCGTCAAAGTTATTACAAATAATTTTAACCACTAATCCATTTTCCTCAGTGTACCCGATAACTGATTCTTTCCTCCAAGAAAGAAAAGTTTTTAAGTTTTTAGAAATTGGTTTACTAACTTTAATTATTTTTGCTTCAGCCATTCTTACAAACTCGTTATACTTAGAGTTACTTTTTTCTGTTTTTAATACTAATTAAAATTATAAAGCCCACTCACTAAACATCATCAGCATTATTGTGAAGCACTTCCGCTTTCTGCTCACAAAGTAATTTAACGTTTTTAGTTAATTTCTATCTAGCTAATTGAATTTCTACAGTAACTCAATGATTTAATTATTTCATTTGTTATATTACGAAGAAAAATTGTTTCAAATGTGCTAAACTTTTTAAACTACGCGAAGCATAAAACAGTTATTGAAAAAACTTTTTTATTTATAAATAAATCATCTAGCATTAGTTTTATTGGTTGAATCTTGTTGAACATTTTAGGGCCGGGGGCTGCATTATTTCAGTGGTCTTTTTTATGTGCCACAGCATAAAAATGACTAAAAAAAATACCGAATGGTCCACTTGACTATTTCCCCTAACATTGTGAGTCCCGGGGCTGTAGCCCTACTACCCCCACCCCACTTCCTCAATCTGCAACTGGAAATAAGACTTAAGTATATAAATAAAAATTATATGAATTCTTTGATAAATCGAAGAATATTTGTTTCTTTATAGTTGTTACTAAAAAATGTTGCTTGATTTTATAAAAAAAATTATAAAAGAGTGACGCTTTAAAAAGAATTGCTCTAATAAATTTATTTTGCTTAAAGTTTTTTCGCATTAAAAGCTATTTTTCTTTTTTTAACTGTCTCTCATCGGTCCAGTTAATCTTATTGCCCTTTTTTGTTTGTTTTTGAAATGTTCTCAAGATGACTAAAAAATCTGGTTTTTCGCAACTAAATATTATTTCCATGGTCAATTATCGAGTGTGATTGCACCCGCTTCCCGGGTGCAATCACACTCGATAATTGACCATGGAAATATATTTAGTTGCGAAAAACCAGATTTTTTAGAAAAAAATCTGGTTTTTCGCAAAAAAAAACCAGATATATATATATATATATATATATATATATATATATATATATATATATATATATATATATATATATATATATATATATATATATATATATTTTATATATATATATATATACATATATATATATATATATATATACATATATATATATATATATATATATATATATATATATATATATATATATATATGTATATATATATATATATATATATATATATATATATATATATATATATATATATATATATATATATATATATATATATGTATATATATATATATATATATTTTTATCCAATATATACATTATATCAAGAGATATTTTGTTTGAATCAATGGAATCATACAAAGTAAGTAATAAATTGTTTTAAAAATTACACCAATGGTAATCAATTGTTTCAAAAAAAATAGAGTCACACATTTTAATAAATTCCTTATTTTTGACATTGTTGACTTCTACCATTCTTTAAATGAAAAGTTCCTTATCAATTCTAATTGTTTTGCTGAACAGTATGTTGCTATCATGCACATAAATCTCTATTGTTAAATGATTTTTAAAAGAAATACTATTCAAATAAATTGCAGTTGTTTTTGAACTATTACTAACTTACACAACCAATAAATTTTGTGCATTAAAAATACCGCTGTTACAAATTGCAACTGTATTAACAAAATTGCATTTCCATTAGTAAGCTATATATTAATAGTCTACTTGAAAATGTTGTTATAAAGCTTTCATCGCCTAACACTGTTTCACCACCTAACACAGAAAAATCTGACAATGTTAGGGAAAACTTTTATGTGGTTCATGAACCACATAAAATCTTTCAATTTAGTGAGGTATATAAATGAAACTAAACTTTCAGGAAGTCAGGAAACTTAAGAAAACAGGTAATATACCTACAATCAAGCAGAGCATAATTAAAAAATGTAAACCTTTTAATGCATACAAAAAGGCGTACTCTTGAAACAAATGAAAAATATTTTATTATGAAGTTTAATCAAGAACATTTGCATAACAAAAAAACTGAAATGATTTTGTAAAATGACATAAAATAAATTTTATGTCAAAATTTTGTTTTTAAAAAACCTTACTTTTAACTCCATAATAGGAAGATCTTTCACATAACTCTGTCATCAAAATTGCCCATGTGTGTCCAGGAAAACGCTTTAAAAAAATATATATTTTTTTTCATTTTTTTTTTTTTTTTTTTTTCATTTTTAACAATAAAAAGCTACAACAAAAGTTGAAAAAATTAAGAAAAAATAAGTAGCAAAATGATATTTTATATTAATATATTCAATATTTTTACATGGATAATTTTATGGAAATTGTGAAACTCTATAAAAAAAACCTACCAACTTTAGGAGTCCTGAAATATATTATGTTTCCAACTAGATTCAGTGCAAAATATTTTAAGCAGTAACTTTAAACTTCAGGTTAAAAAATAATATTGGGAGTATGTATTGAAAATGAGCGTTTTGTATTAATGATATTCATAATTTGGCAAGTATATTTCTGATCAGGCTGAAGTAAATTTTAATAGAAAGCTAAAACCCTAGACTGCAAACACCACTCCAAATTCAAAAAATTTTTTTTGTAAAAAACTACCTGGAGAACCTAGCAGCATTTTTCTTCTTATGAAGATACCAAAAAATGGGTTGATGGCTCGATTGCCTCAAAAGACCAAGACTTTTTCCAGCTTGGAATTTGCATGCTACCCCAAAGATAGGAGAAGGACGTCAATAGACAGTATTTTGAATGAATTGAGTCTGATAGTCTTCTCAAAATAAACTTTTGATTTTTATAAGAAAAAGTCCATTTTAAAGTATACTTCCAATAGATTCCATGACATGACATTTTAATTTACTTGCAAAGAACTGTCAAAAGTTGAAGTTAAAAAAGTTCATGAAGCACTTTTTAATAGTGTTGAATAGAGAGTCAAATGTAAATAGAGAAATACTAAAAGCCTCAATTAGTTTTTAAAGTTATGTAGTATCTAATACTAAAATATGCGATTGCAGAATTTGAAAATGAACTACAGAACTAGATCAATAGAAAATTGTTATTAGATTGAAAAAAAAATCACCTAAAGAAAAACGCCCTTTAATGGTTATTATTTAATGAAACAAAGAAAACAAAAATCCAACTTAACTTGGACTTAAGCTGGCCTAGTAGTTTTATCAAAGAATATGCAAGAGATGTGTCAGAAGCTGAAAGAATTGAGGGAGGGAGAGAGGAAAAATAAATATTAATCATTATGTTATGGTGTCATATTGGTTTATCTTCAGTTAGATATTGGATAGTTTCTTTCAGTTTGTGCATTAAAAGAACCAGTTTGTAGTGGTTGAGTGTACATGTCAATGAGGAAAAAGATAGTTAGTGTTCTTATTCAAGTTGTTGTAAATACTGTGGAGGATGCAAAAATGGCTGAAAAACAAAAACCTGATATAAACAGGACAGAGCTAAACACTGTTATTAAATAAATGACAGAACTCAACTGGATTTCTAATGTGCTAAGATAAAAAAAAAAAAAAAAAAAAAGTTTGAAGTCAAAAATATTTCCATGTGTGTCCATGCATAGGCTAAACTATTTTCTTTCAGAAAATAGTTTAGCTGTGACATTAAGAAGAGTTTCCAGCAGATGGTTAAATAAAATGACATTGGCTGACAATCTGAACAGTTTACTCACAAAATTGTTTAAATAGGAAATTTAATGCTAAAAAAAATTGAGAGAGATTAATCATGGATATTATTTACTATGATACTTGAAAACGTTGAGTGTAATTTGATTGTGATCTTTAAAAATATGCATAGTTGCAACAATGGTCAAGTTCGTAAGGAAGTGTTGCCATAGCCCAAATACTCTGACTTATTCTTTGCCCACAAAATGCACTATCTAAAATATATACAGACAATAAAACCAACATTCAAAACTGAATTTATAAGGAGCTTTCTTGATAATTCGGGAGTGCGCATTAAGTTGAGAGCAGATAATTATTCTAAAGGAAATAGAATTGTAGAAAAAAGCCACCATATAATTAGAAGAATAGTAGAGCAATCCAAAATGTCAATACCAAAAGCAGTATATTGGTATATTGTTTTAATCAGTAAAAATGACAAATTGGTATTAAAGAGTAGAGAAAAATTAATTTTACAGCAAAAAATGACATAAAAGAAATTTTTTAAATTTGCAATTAAATTTGATTATAGCCAAAAATAAAATGTGTCATATCAAATTGAAGTAAACATTGAAGCTTAAAATAAATTTTTGAAACAGACATGCTCAAGAACAGTACATGTCTTTAAATTACCTCAACAAATGTTTATATCTGTCAAAGGATCAAGAAGAAATGTAATTTAATTGTCGAAAACACAGTAGCATTTGATGAAGTTGAAATTTTTGATAATTTGATATATACTGATCATTTTATTAGTTTTTTACTTGTACTATTTTTTATTATGTTTTAAGTAGTTTTTAAACACTTCCTTAAAAAATATGAGGTTGTACAAAAAACAAATAAAGAAAACTTACTTTAAGCTGTGCACAGCACCGGTCATCAAAAACTTCTTCAACATTTTGTTGTTCTATTTCAACTAAACATAATATTGATAAACTATGAAATTGAGTATTTTTTTACCAAACAAATTATGAAGTTGTATTCAATATACGTTCATTTCTTATATTGAGAGTATATTTAGTTAAAACTTACTTAATATAATGCACAAAATATTGTTTTAAGGCTAATTACCAAATCCACTTTTATTAATTTATGACATTTAACAGTGTAGCCCTAACTCAAATTCAGTTCATGAATTTCAATTAAGCCATATCATAGCAACTATATTCTTTAAGAATATAATTGCTATGATATTACTTTAAGTAAAAAATATGCTCTAATTACTTCTAAACAATTATATTTGATCAGATATTTGAACATTACAATAAATTACAATATATTGCAAATTGGAAAATGCTTTCAAAGGCAAAGGATAGAAAAAATGAATTTTGACATAAAACACCTCCTGCTTTAGGCTCTTGGTTAAATTAAGGCTAGAGGCTACTCAACTGTTAAACTATTAAATAGGCTGATGTACTAATCATATTTGACATAGAATGGATAGGAGGATGGCTTATTAAAAATTCAGTGATGGTAAATTAGATAACCAGATGATTAACTAAATAACCATAAAATAACAAAGAATCAAAAACTCATAAGTAGAAAGAAAGATTTGGTGTTAATGATTCTAAGCAGAAGATATGGTAACATAGGTTTACTATACTGCTATTACAGGGAGGCCGCATAGAATTTTTATAAAAAAAAGAGGATATTAGAGGATTTTAGAGGAGCTGTAACCACCTTGTATTATGTAGAGGTGTGTTACATAATTGCCTGCTTAGAATCACTAACACCAAATTAACACTAAATCTTCTTTATTTTTCTTATGAGTTTTTCTTTTGATTCTTGCTTATTTTATGGTTATTGCACCTCTTTTTTTTATTTCCTTAATGGTAACAAGGCTAACTTGTAATTAAACTGCATGGTAGCTTTTAAAAAAGCTGATTCCATTAACAGCTGTAAATTATGAGAGGATATATCAGAGGATAAAAACAAGTTTTCTTAAATAAACGGCTTCTTTGTTAATGCCTTTAGAGTACATTTTTGAGGCCACATACATTGGCAAACTTAGACCTGCTTTGGTATTCTTGGAAAAAAGCACCCAAAAACATTTATTACTTTGTGCCGTTTTTTTTGCTTTTTAGCTAAAAATGAAAATAAAAAAAAAATTCGGTTTCAAATGCATTAGTAACTATGGGCTGTTTATATGAGGCCGGCTAGCTCTGTTAGCCGGGCTAGCAGAGCTGGCTGACATGAACGATATCTCGGTATGGTCATCGTAGTCAGTATGTAACTATAGCTGGTCATAGTCAGGGCCGGCGAGAGTAGATGTCACGAGGGGGTGCAATTACAACTTTTGTCGACTAGAAAATAAAAAAAAAAAGGTCCTTGTTTTTTAAAATTTGACTGTCTAAGTTTACCGACTAATTTGTCGTAAGGATCTAAATTTTCCGACTAACTAGTCAAAAAGTGTCAAAGTTGCCGTCTAAATGAACAAAAAAATCATTGATGGGGGTGTCACATACCCCCCCCCCATCGCGCCGGCCTTGGTCATAGTAGTATGTTAAATACTATGACTATGTTAATATTTAGTAAATATTACTGTGTTGAGATGTTGTTTAAGTGTTGTTTAAATATTATTTATCTATAGGTAAATATAAAAAAATATAATAACTAAATAATTATATATAATTAATGATAATAATATATATTTATATGATTTATGTGATATTTATATTTATATAAACTATATATACTGGAGACATGTAAATATTACTATTTTTTAAATATATAATAATAATCGTTGTTAGAAACAAAAAACAATAAATAAATAAATTAGTTATTATTACTGTTTTAATAAAGTCACATATTTTCTTAAGCTAGATGCTACTTAGATGGGATGATTAGGGTTAAGGTCCAAAACTTTAAATGCAATTTAATTGTACAAAATATGTTATCTAATATATATAGTTATTTTTATTATTTTAGATAAGAAAAGAGCAAAAATATATTTCTATAACTTATACTAGCTTGATGTCGGTATTCATTTACATCATAATGTTTTTTAGAGGAAATATTTTAATAATGACAACAAAAAATACTATAATAAAAGAGTAAAACATATTAACTATTACAAGAAGTCAGATCAGCTTCAATCATAAAATATTGACGTTTTTCTCATATAAATTTGTTACAAAAGTCTCCTGAAACCTTAAGATACTTAATTTTATAAACAATACCGTCAACTTCTATAACCTTTGCTAAAAGAAAGAAAGAAAAAAATTTTTGTCGGTCAACTTCTTGTCTAGTCAAGCTCTAGTCTGGTCTAGTTAACGGTCTATTTTGGACCTTTCCAAAGTATCTTTTTCAGTGAGAAGAATTGTCATAGACTATTATTTCAAATGACACTTCGCGTTTTTTTATACTAATAATAGTAGGTCGACAGAATGGAGCGACCGAAGGTACAACGTGGTCAAAGGGACATCAGGATCTCCTATTCGTTTCCCCTATATATCGTAAGTTACTATAATACATGTCTAATTTAAACAGCATATCATAAATTCCGCTCATAAGGAATATTTTTTGCAATAAATTCGAAAAGTAAAAAAATGCAACGTGTGTGGTTTTTTGCAGAAAACAATTTAGTTATGAAGCAACCTTTTCCGTTACTTTTTTAAAATCCTAATAACAAAGTTGAATTAACATTTAAATGACGTCACCCTTTAAATTTTTGCTTGTTAGCAATTAAGTGTTTGAATAATAAAATGAACGAAAGTAAAAATTTCAATCTTAATAACAACGTAAAACGAATGAACTTTACATCGCTATTTTATTTTACTTTTGGAGAACGCAAAAATGAAATGAAAAATGTTGTCTCTTATTTTTAAAGGGCTTTTAAACCACTGAGAGGATGGAGGCAACCTCCAGAACATCTATCCCGTTGTCGAAAAAAAAACTTTATCTCCACTCTGGATCTTTACTAACATGAACTCTTTATGTCAAAAAAATTTTGGATTGATTGGAAGGAATGATCTCAGAATTAATAGTTATTACCCTCGGAGTCGTAAAGAATCCAATAGTTTTATAACTGGCCTTTATTTATACTTTTTTATCAATTCACTTATTTACCAAAAAATCAGGTTTAGATCCTCTAAGATCATATTTATTTGCTTTTGTTTATAACAACTTCTTTCAATAACCTTTGTTATTTAACATTAATTATCTTCCAGGCCAAAAAAAATAGTTTTATATTTTAAAATATATATCATTATAATCTGAATCATAAATTGAATGTGAAGATTATGATGTAAAATAATTCAATGTAGTGCCTCTAATGCAAATATTTAAAGAATTATTTATTATTCTCAAATCTCAATACAAAATAAAAAAAAATAATAATAAGTCAAGGAATTGCAGAGTTAGTTTACAAGTTCTATTAAAATAATGAGTATAGCAGAATAATAACTGATATAAAATCAAAAAAGCTAGCACAGCAAACCCAGTGGGCATACGTCGTTCAGGTAACGTCTATGCGACGTCCTATAGATGTCTCCCAGACGACACGTATCCACTAGGAAAATTTTAAATGTTTATATGCAAGAGACAATGTATATAACTTTGTAATTCTTATTGAAGATCAAAATCTGATACACTAAAGTCATTTTGCATCTCTGTTGACATGAAATATAATGTTGATATTACGTATGAACAACAAAATTTTACTGCAAATTTCACTCAAAAAGCCGAATATGAGAATATTGAATAGTTTTCAGATAACTGTGCCTGTCAATATAAAACCAAACAGAAAATTTTAAAATCTAAGAAACTTAAAAATGTATATTCATTTAAAATGATTTAAGAATTAAAACGCGATTAAATTTTTAAAAAAAAAAACAGATTAAAAATATTTATTTATATTATTGGTATATAAGCAAATCGTAGCAAAAACTTGTTTTAGTAAGAATAAATATGTTTTACAATTAAAATGAAACTTTTTTTTTTTTTTTTTTTCAATTTTATTTTAGGTGCCCCAAGAAGACCTAACGGTCTTGTCACAGAGCACCGCGGAACTGCATTTAACCAGGAAATTCACGCCTCCTTCCTTACCGTGAGGCGAAAATATGTCCAAAGCTCATTTCGAACCTGGATCTCCTATTTATTAAGCAAGCGCTCTAACCACTACGCCACGGCTGCAAACTTAATAATGGTTTCTGCAGATTTTGAAATTTTAAGCGTTTCAGTTACAGTGTAAATCCGCCTTAAAGATGATATTTAAAAGTTGATAATTTTATGAACCTCTTTCCAAATTTTTCTCAGATAAGCTTATTCAATCGGTTTTTCATTTATGAAAAAGAAATGTTAACGATATATTTAATTTATTATCTAAGTTTTACTGATCTTGCAAGATTATTAGCTTTAATCTTTAATCTCTACAATTGTTAAGATAACTAGTTTTTTAATTACTTTGTGTGCGTTGCCTGTGTATGAGAATTGTGAAAAAAATGCTGTTGTTCGCGCAACGGAACTTGTGTCTGCTGTTGTGTCAACGGAACTTTTGACTGCCCAAACTGAAACCCTTTATCAATGTATGTATGTTCCTATCCTCATATCAATCGAGGCATACAGATTCCGTTGTGTCTGAGGCAATATAAATCGATGTATGTTGGGTAAGGCTTTGCATAATAAGACTGCTGGGCAAAATATATATATATATATATATATATATATATATATATATATATATATATATATATATATATATATTCATATATATATATATATATATATATATATATATATATATATATATATATATATATATATATATATATATATATATATATATATATATATATATATATATATATATATATATACATATATATATATAAATATATATATATATATATATATATATATATATATATATATATATATATATATATATATATATATATATATATATATATATATATATATATATATATATATATATATATATATATATATATATATATATAGGTGTACGAGTGAATACGTCATATTTACTATGTTTACTTGTTATCCACAAACACTTTAGTAAACATGTTAAAATGTTTATTATAGTGTTTACTTATATTTATTATATGTACCTAACATGTTCAAATTTTATTAAAGAGGTTTATTTGTTTAAACACTCTAGTAATGTAAATATTATATACAGTGAGTAGATTTGTTGAGAAGGTTTGCAAAAATTTATATTTATCTTTCGTTAGTTTTTTACGATATAAATATTTGTATGAAAAAAGTGAAAAATGGTGCTACTAAAAGAAGAGAAAATCACAAAATACCCCAAACAAAGGGAGGAAATACCCCAAACTAACACATTTTTTGAAACCAGCAGTTTAGCCTGGAAGTGTTTCGACACCAACAGAAATTAAAAATAATTTTGATTGTCATTATTTGAATACTAGAGTCAGAAAGATCGATATGTGAGTCTACATTAAATGGCATAACAATTCCGCCTATTTTTCTCCATGATGATCTTTCTGAGTTGCCTGATGATGTTTCTGATGCACGGAGGTGAATTACAATCGCTCACGAAATATATTAAAACATGGACTTTCTTATTATCAATTATTATTTGGTATGATATTTTATTTCAAATCAACATATCAAGTAAGCTCATTCAGTCTTCTGCAACCTCTCTTAACATATTAGCTATTGAAATAAAAGCAACAAATGCATTTCTTTATGAGTATCGCAAAAATGAATTTTCTGACGCACGTATTAAACCATCAGAAATTTCAGAAGTATCGGGCATTAAAACGTTTTTTCCAATTATACGTTTACGAAAAAAAATGTCGATTTATTTATACGAGTGTGTTGATCACACTCGGCAAATGAACATCAGTATAAAGCAGATTTATTTTGCCATTAATTGATATGTCAATTGCATCAGTAAAAGAGCAATTTGAACAGATCAGTATTGTCACAAATCTTAATGACTTTCTTTACCAATCTGAGAGTCTTATCAAAGCCTGTAATAAAAATTCTATGTCTATTATTGCAAAAATTTGAAAATGAAGTTTGGTGATAAAGATTTTGAGGATTTAGAAATGAAGTTAAAACGATTTGTCATAGATAACAACGAGGAAAAATATGCCACAATTAAGTTGTTGCGTTACGAATCATTCTTACTGTATCAGTTACTGTTGCAAGTACAGAACGTACCTTTAGCAAGTTAAAACTAATTAAAACTTTTCATAGGTTAGTATAAATAATCTTGCTTCATTATACATAAATATATGTAGCTATATTTCTTTGTATCTTTAAATAGGTCAACAATGGTCGATGAACGTTTTTTTTCTTTAGCAACGCTGTCGATTGAAATCGAGGTTGCAAGGAAATTAAGTTATGAAGGCATACTAATAATACTAATTGTGAACTTTATTTTGACATTATCAAACTAATGAAGCTACTCAAAATTGTTTGCTTTAGGAGTGGAGTTTTTAATGAGATTTAATAAGATAATCATTTAATTGCTCAAAGTCAATTTAAACTAATGAGTGTCTATTTAAATTCTGTAATAGAAACAACTAACTGGCTAGGAAGATGTTGTAACTGCTGACCTCAACTTGCTTTTAAAAATTATTGAAGAACATGGTACCTTAGTACTCGAGGGTTAAAGTTTAAATTTACCCCGACAAAAATTAATCAATTTTTTTTAAACACATAAAACTAAGAAACAGTTGATATTGCGTAACAAAAAGTATTATATTGAGGAGGGGATTTTTTTAAATTTTAAAAGTTGAACTCAACCTTTAAATTTATTCTTTAAAAATTTGAACTTAAACTTTAAACGTTTAAATCTTTACATAATCCAGCACTTTCTAACAGGCTTAAAATTAAACATGACTTAAAAGATTGAAAATTATATGAATCAGGAATACAAGATGAAGGAAGCGAATTCCAAAGATCTGATGTTCAAGGAAAAAAAACTGGACAAATAAGAATTTTTGAAGCATTTAGGAACAGTCACAATAAAAGGATGTGACTTAATTAAATGACAAGTAACGCAAGAATGAATTTTAGTAGATGGCACAAAAGACGCTAGCTCTTAAGAACAGTACCCATAATAGTATTTATAGAAAAAGGAAAAAGAAGCAACATTACAAACAATGTGTTAATGATTGGAGGTTAGCCAACCTCCAAGAGCAGGTCCAACTAAGTTTACAATACATTTTTGCTCCTTGTCTAAAAGAGAAAGGGCATCATTCGAAGATTCGCTCCAGACATGGCAACAGTATTCCATGCAGTGATGGGTTTGAGATTCATAGATGTAAATAATAGAATCCTGAGTAAGAAAATGGAGAGCACAATAAAGAAATGCAACCTTAGCAGATGCTATTTTAGCAATCAATTTGATATATGGTTTCTAAGAAAGATTGAAAGTAAGAGTTAATCCTAGAAGACGAAAGGTAGATGACTCATAGAGTACACTACCATTCATAAATATAAGAAGATCTAGATTATTGTGAATAAGATAATATAATGTAATAACAATTATTTGAAAAAAATAAAGTTTTATTTGAGTTAAAGCTTACCAAACACTGAGAGCCCTATGCTGTAGCTTAGTTCTCCTTCCAAGCAATCAGAGAGTGTTGGCTTCTTATCAAGACAAGAACAAATATCAGTATCATTAGCAAACAATGTCACCTTAGATGTGCGAATTTCTGGAAGATTGTTGATTTACATAGGTAAATTAAAAAGTGTATTGAGCCAAGAACAGAACCTTGAGGAAGCCCTGAATTTAAAGAATATGAAGAAGAATGCTGTTCATCAAAAACAACTTTTATAATACAATTGGTAAGGAAGGATTCAATAAACCTAAAGATGTAACCTGAAACACCGTAAAAGGAGAGCTTATGGAAAAGACGAGCATTTTAAACTTTATTAAATGCTTTAGAAATGTTGAGAGCGATAACCTCAGCCTCTCCACATGTATCTAATACACAATAAAACCTATCAGTTATTACCGTTAACAAATTAACAGTAGAACAAGAAGATCAAAATCCATACTAATGATTACAAATTAAGTTATTAGATTCAAGATGAGAGATTAAGTTTTTTTTAATTAAAGACTCAAAAACCTTGCTTATGATAGGAAGAAGAGTTATAGGACGATAGTTAGACGAGTCAGATCGCTCTTCAGAGTTTTTGAAAATAGGGATAACAGATGCCATTTTCCGGCAGGCTAGAAAACAAGACTTTGAAAAGCAATTGTTAAATATTTTTAAAAGTATAAATTACAACTCCGGAATACACTTCTGCTAGACTATAGTAGGTATGTTTTCCGCACCACTAGCTGTTAAAGAGTTTAAGCAGGAAATCACTTTAGATAAAGAAAGCTGAAATAATATGAATATCAGGCGATGGGTTAACCTGTTTGTCGGCTATATCAGGTGAAACGCGACTAGTGGAATCAAAATATTATTGATGAAAAGTTCTTAGCAAACAAGTCAGCTTTGTCTTTAGGTGAGGTTACAAAATCTGAACCATACAAAAGGGTAGGAATAACAGATTTGCCCTTTTTATAAATACTGTTAAAGATTCTTTATTTTTAAGAGTTTATACTACTTTTTAATTTTTTTATAAATATTATTGCAATTATATTGTTAATAGTCAACCAGAAAACAATATGATATGAAAAGTTAAATTGGTTTATGTTTATTTTTTTTATTATTTATAAAAGTTCTTACCGTTGTCATTGGAGGCTTTATAATTAACCGTTTCAGCTTTTTTTTTCATTTTTTTTTATTTAGTTTTTTGATAAAATAAGATTTTATTAAAGCAGAATTTTTTTAAATGACAAACGTGAAATTTGTTTTTAAGAAGGCTTGTTTGTTCATCACATGCATGGCATTTATGTTTGTTTGCCACCAAAGGCAGATTTTTTCAAAGTGACAAAACCCTTAATAAAACAATGCTGACATGGTAACATGAATTGCAAAATTAAATAAACAACTTTTTAAAGATAACACTGACTTAAGTAAAAAAAATTTATTTGTTTAAGATAAAGTCAACTGGGAAACAATTTATAATTTCTGCACTTCTAATAACCGATTTGTTCTTTGCTCAAATTCAAAAAACTAATAAAAACTGATTTGGCGACATATTTTGTTTGCATGAGTCTTAGGCAATATTAAAAAAATTATATTTTTATGATATAAATTTAAGCAGATTTTTTCAATATTTATCCCAAACTGCTTTAATATATTGATTTTAATCGTTTATCAAACGAAATTCTTTTTGTTTTAGTTGCAAAAAATTATTTAACAAATTGATAATTAAATTTTTAATAAATGATGATTAAATTATTTTAAAAAGTCAAAATCATTTTAATGTAAATATTAAAAATTGCTGCTGTGTTGTATACAAGTTTCAACTATTGATTAAATTACTGTTTAAATTAACAATATTAATTAAAGCAAAAAGTTTGCAAGGTCTCTTTAAAAATGCTGAATCTATCACAAACAATAGAAAAAAGATGCTTTGCTAAGCAAATATAAAATAGTAAAAACAGCTATTAAACTTTCCAAACATGTATTCGACAAACTTAACTTATGCACTAAATTGCAAAAAAAAAAAATTTTTTTGTAATTTAAGGGAATGAAAAATTTTACTAGTAGGAATCTTTTTAATCAACTTTATACAACCCTATAAAAACCGGTGACGCCTAGTACACAGTAAACTTTATTCCCGGGGAACTTTTTCCATTGAGTTAACTTTTTTTACTTTGAACCCTATTCAAAACTTTTTTTTTTAAAGTAAATTAAACACGCAACATTCTTTCATTCACGCAATTAAACACGCAACATTCTTATATAAAGAAGTTTAATAATTAAACTTTTTTATTTCATAAAAAAATTTTAAAAAATTAATAATAAAAAAAAAAAAAAAATCTAAAAATTAATAACAAAAAAAAATAAATCTAAGCATCATTTATCAAGGTTAACCTTATCAATAACAAATCAAACAAATGGTTATAGTAACAAATTACCTTAACAAATGATGCTTTAACTTTTTTTGGTATTCTTTAATGACAATTATTTTAAAAATACACATATATGTAAATATTATTTTGAAATGAAAAATTGCTGCAATTTTTTAGAGATTTTTGATCTTATTTAGTTTCAGTTATTTAAAAAATCCACCCCCACCCCCCGCCTACACACAAACACACACACACATATATAATTGTTATTTTTAAAATAAAAACTTAAAAATTTTGCTGCTGTTTTTTTTAAAAGACTTTTAGTTATTAATTTTAATTAATAACTAAAAATATCTTAAAAAATAATAATAATAATTAGATTTGAGTCATTTTTATTACCTTACTTCATTCTTCTTTTCAGTTGGTTAACACAAGGTAAAAACTATGAAAAAGAGCTAAAAGGACATTTGTTTGTTTTTTTGAATCATTTTCGTAACTGTAAAACGTTCAACAAATGAAGTACACTTCGCATCTTAAACACTAATGTTCAAAGTCTAGAATGCTATCACTAGTATGAGTAGATTCTTTGTGTGTGTTCCCCTGCAGAAGTAAATGTTTGTTACACTATCCACCATGCGATTTCCATTACGTTATTGCAATTACGTCAATGTCATTTTTTATGCTATTATATTTTATCAGCATTTGTATTTCTCTAGTTGTTGCCCTGTCTCACTTTCTAATGAGTTTTCCCAGTCTATCAAGGGTATTCGTGATTTATTTTAGATAAAAGCAAATTTTATTTGCTTTCTTGTAAGGTACACGGTTGTGAATCGATAAAAATAACAGAACACAATTTTAAATATCTTAACGAGGAGAAGATGATGAATAGAATGCAAATGTTACGCATAGATCGCGAAAATGACTTCAAAAGTTTGCATAAACTGTGAAGTGAGAAAGTATTTTGAATTTATTTATGTATATAATAAAATATCTATGATAAAATAATTTAAACTCATCAAAATATGTATTTAAATAATGCATAATAAAAGTTTAAACAAAGTAAGTAATTAAATAAAGTAAAATAGAATTACATTATATCAAAAGTATATCAAATGAAAATATAGTTTTTAAAACCTAATATATATTTAGAATGTTTTTTTTGAGTTTAATTTTTTCTTTACAAAATTTTTTGCACCCAATATGTTTTCTTTCACTTTAAAATAAAGTATATTTACTTTACCACGCCAAGCTATTTCACAAACTTTGTATTTGCTATTATTCTTAACCAGTAACTCGTCCTTAGAGATTTCCCATTGTTAGTTGAACCAATGTTCACGTTCGAACCTCAGGTTGCAAGATTTTAACCATAAAGAAATGAAGTAAAGTTTAGTATTTTTTCCAAAATTTTACCAAAATATCTTTTTGAAGTAACTTTGTTTGTAATAAATCAAAGCCTAATTTGCTTGCATGCTATACCAAATTTAACATAAAAATAATTAAATATTAATAATAAAACATAAGATGATAAACTATATTATTAATATTTTTTTTATTTTATCCTGTGCTCAAAACACCTGTTATATGGACAGCATAACACCATAAACATTTTTCAACACAAACCAAAAGATTTTATCACTACTAATAAATATCCGTTCACTGGTTTTGTTATTATTCGTATCGCGGTATAATAATTTACAGAATATTTTCTTGTTTTATACTTGTATGGATAATTGATTTCAATCTTTTTAAATTCAATTCTATGCAACAGAAATGTTGTCAGACCAATTTTGCAGTTTTTTTTACAGCATTGGAATTGGCTCACAGACTAATATAATTTTCACTGGCATCTAATATTAATACACACATCAAATCAATATTCAATACAAGCATCCATCAACTTTTTTATGCCATTGATTAACCATTTTAAACAATTGACACCTGAACGTTGAAAACGCGTTGACACCTGAACAACTGATTTCAAAAAAACTTGCGCTAGCTAGAGGTATTTAGTGATTTTCTAACTGCAGCAACACTTTTTCTTTTCTTAATGGCACCCCTTTTTTTTTTTTTTTTTTTTATGTCAATAATTATATCATTTAAAACTAACGATAAAAGATAACTGTATGTTTTTGCGCAATAAAATAGGGCCCAACGAAAACCTTTATAGTTGTCATACGCTTCACATTTGTTTCTTTAAATAGCAGTTTCTTTGATTCAATTGAAACAAATGATATGGTTTTTATTTCATAAAACTAAAGCAAAATTAATAGCTAATAACATTATAATAAAATAAATTATTAACCTGTTAATCACAGAAAATAAAATTTAAAAAGAGACTGTCATTTATTTTACAGACCGTTTTAATATAAAAGTCTTTAAATAAATAGTTAAACTAAATTTTTTTTTTTTTTTTTTTTTTGTCAAGCAACCACTTACAGTTAAAGGTAATTTCCGATAAAATATTTAAAAATATTAAATGCAAGTACATTTCATTATTTATAATAGTTACGAGACCGGAGAATCTGAAGAAGATAAAATCTTCTCATCAGTAACCTTTAGTAATAAAAATTGGAAATAAAAGTGGATTGTTAGAAAAAATCATGTAAAGAATCTTGATTGGCAATAAGTTCGGTTATGTTCTTTTTAAATTTTTGAGAGGTATTGGCTTCTTTAAGTTTACCACTCAGGCTTGTAAAATGGTTCCATAACATTGAACCACGATAGGAAATGGTAAAGCTCGTAAGTTTTGATGTACGGAAAAGTTTTTTAAATCTTCAGGTAGATCGCGTGTTGTATCGGTTTAATGTTTTAGGGAAAATGTTTTAGAAAACCTTCGGCGTTTTTTTTAGACTGATGTTAAAACATAAATTGTGTAATTTTGAAAATATTTAATTTATAAATATCAAGTGCCCTCGTGCTTTTTAGAAGAGGTTAAGCATTTGTGAAGCGATTTTGAAAATGAATAATGCGTGCTGCATGATTCTGTTGTTTAAGGAGACAGTCGAGTTTAGATTTATTTGTACAACCCCAAACAATATTGCCATAAGATAAATAACTGTTTATGAATGCAAAATAGAGTTGAGTTAGTGTAGATATATCTAAGATTTGTCTGGTTTTATATAAAATACCAATACTACTTGAGATTTTATTGCTAATATGTTTAATTCGTCTATTCAAATACCAAGTAACTTATTTGTGATTGAGCGCTCAATTTTGATGTTATTTATATATAGCATTGGTAAGGATTTTGGAATATATTAAAACTTTCGTTTAGAATGGAATAAGGAAAACTTGATTTTATCAGGTTTAAAGATAGGCTGTTAGCGATAAGCCAGTATGATATTTGTTCTAGTTCATTATTTGCTACTTGAAATAGCGAGATAATATTACTGTGAGAATAGAATAAATTGGTGTCGTCTGCAAAAATAATAGTAGTCATAGTATTTGATGCTTTATATAGATCGTTGACATAGATTAAGAACAGCAGCGGACCTAAGATGGAGCCTCGTGGAACCCGACATGATGTTTTAAATTTGTTTGTTTGAAAGCCATCATTCAGAGAAATAAACTGCTTTCGATCAGTTAAGTAACTGGTAAACCATTTATGGTATTCGTGGCTTATTCCATAATATTTTAGTTTTTCTAATAAAATCTGACGGTTAACAGTGTCAAATGCTTTAGATAAGTCTAGGAATATACCTATAGTGAATTTGTTATGAGAAGATGCTTCGCTGATAACTTCAACAATTTGCATTAGTGCATGTTCCGTAGAGTAATTTGATCAAAAACCATATTGGTTATAATAAAGAAGATTGTTATCATACAAAAATGCAAATATCCTATTATACAAATACGTTCGAGGATTTTTGAAAAAACAGGTAATACCGATATAGGTCGATAATTTATAACCAGACCATTTTTAAATCTCCTGATTTAAAAATGGGT